GAGTTAAGACATATTTGACTTTTGAACTTTTCTTAATTTAAAATATTTCTGCCATAGCTCTCCTAGCATCTAAACAATAGCTACTTTGTCTTGCTGTTCAGTTTTAGATAAATGAAACACCAATGTCATTAAATCAAGTAGCAGGCTAAAAGCTTGGTAAGAAATGTTGGAGATTGAAATATCTGTTTATCAACAGTATACTCTAATTTTGATGGTTTATTTGAGGTGGATGTGATAATAGTTCAATCTGTGAATGTTCTGTGAAAGCATACTGAAGAATTTGATCTGTGGACATAGACAAAAGTTACTTATTGACCTCAGCTTCATGTCAAATTCTTTATTTATAAAGTAACTTCTCAGCATAGTGCAGGTTGTGACTTCTTTCAAACTTTCTCACCCTCAGGTGGACACCTCTGGCATCTGAACAACTTCATCGAGCATCCTGTCGCTGAGAGGCCTGGAGAGATCATGGACGATCCTCCAGCGCCCCCTGCTGACGAGGAGGAGGAGGAGGAGGAGATCGACGTCGTGGGTCTGGATGATGAGCAGGAGGAGGAGGAGGAGGAGGAGCAGGAGGAGGAGGAGGAGCCTCAGGTGGCCGAGCCTGACAGATATGATGTGGATGGTAAGTGGGATGATGATGGTGCTCACATGTTTATAAATGAGGATGTTATTGTTCAGAAGACAGTACATGTTAAGGCTGTTTATGTCATGGGATCTCCTGATTTAAAGTAGACTCACTGAATTTGTCTCTAAACACATCCTGCTTTGTGTTCACACAGATGAAGAGGAGATGGAGGTGGCTGCTCTGGTGGACGAGGAGGTGCTTCAGGTGGCCGAGCCTCAGGGAGACGACGGAGATGCTCCTGACAGGTTTGATCGTCCTGATGGCAGGAGAGGGGAGAGAGAGGAGGAGCTGAATGATGTCAGACCTCCCTCTCCTCCTCTGCTGCAAGAAGGTCCTGCTGCCCAAATTCCTCCTGCTGACCCTGCTAATGCTCCTCCTTATGCTGCTGCTTATGCTCCTGCTTATGCTCCTGCTTATGCTCTAGTTTATGCTCCTGCGTATGCAGTTTATCTTGCTCACCCCTGTGCTCACTTTGCTGCCCCTCTTGCTTACGCTTATTTTCCTGTTTATGTTGCTCCTCCTCCTGCTGATGCTCCTGCTGATGCTCCTGCTTCTGATCCTGAGTTTCAGATCCCTCAGCTGGAACCTGAGACCCTGGGGCCCCTGACCGAGGTGGACGACTCTCTGGAAGAAGATCCTGCATCACCCTCAACTTCTGGCTCCTCCAGGAAGAGGAAGAGGGAGGCCAGCGAGGAGGAGCAGGAGAAGGGGGCTGATGCCAGGAGACCGAGGACGTCCGATGACAGCGAGGAGGAGGAGGAGGAGGAGGAGGAGGAGTGGGCTGATGCCAGGGGACCTAGGTGGTCTGATGACAGCGACTCGGAGGAGGAGGAGGAGGAGGAGGAGTGGGCTGATGCCAGGGGACCTAGGTGGTCTGATGACAGCGACTCGGACTAATTCCACTTACTAATGCTATCTGTTCTCTCTTCCTCACACCACAGGTTTCTCTCCAGAGGATGCTGCAGTAACTCTTTCTTCTTCCACTGATGACCGGCCTCTGCGTCTGGATGGACCAGTGATTCCAGGGACAGCTCTCGCGTCTGGCAGGGCTGAAGACCCCCGTGGTAGCGTCTTGCACCGGGGGCATATCTGCAACATCTCTACTTCTTTTTATGCACAGCGGCTGGGTGGACTTTTCTTTCTTTATTCCTGAGGGTCTTTGTGTCTGGCTGGGCCTGTAAGACTCCAGGTAGCCTTTGCGTCTGGCGGGGCTGTCGACCCCCCCGTGCATGTAGCCTTTGCGTCTGGCGGGGCTGGAGAGGACAGGTGTAGTCCTGGTAGTGTCTTCAGATGGATTTGATCTCCCTGGTCACAGCACTAGAGACTCTTACTGAATGAGCAGTGACTGGAGCGCACAGGGAGAGAGAAGAAGAAAACTAAAGGGAAGCTGCAGAAACAGGAAGAAACCTCAAACAGGAACCAGAACCACACTGGTCTGCTGATCAGAGTCAGAGCTAGCTTATAGAGGTAAAATACAGACTGACAGTTCATATGGATGGAAAAAGTAAGTACAAGTATCTGAGAAAGTGACTTGGAATAGGTAAGACTCTGGAGCTTGTCCGTTCATGAATCACAGATTTTTTAATAAGGTTTGTAGGCTCTTCAGTCCATTCATATTTTTGTCTGTTGTTTAAAAGAGGAATGCACATTTACAATGCAATTTCTAACCCAGGCTGTATCAGCACAGTGGATTTAGGAGCGTTAAACTGAATGTTAAATTAAATGTTAGCTGCAACATAATATTTATTAAAACAACAACCTACCTCTCTTCTAAGATGAACAAATGTACGTCGTTATCATGTTTTAGTCTCTAGAAACGTAATTGAACAGGCCTAGATGATGATATTAAGAAGGAGAAAGTCATGTGTCAATAATTCAAAGATAACCTTTTGTCTTATTGAGCTTATTGTCTCACTCTTCTTACTTCACCTGATGACCTGTTTCCTTTCACTTTGGACAGCAAAGGTGAGTATGACTTTCTGAAGAATAACAAGTGAGGTTGAATAGTTTTATAATAAAAATATAGTTGTCTGACGTCCTTCTGAAGTAGTAAATGAAGAGAACAATTCACCTTGTGTAAGCTTGTTATAACTTTTGTTATTTAATAACTCTCTAATACTCTTTTCTTTTTTCCACCACCTGATCGGCTGCTGATCACTGGACAACTAAAGGAGAGTATGAGCTTTTAAATGCAGTGAATCTGCTGTAGCACACAATGGAAAAGGTTTGGTAAGTATGTGTTGGATGATGCATGTTTAGGTTTGGTCCTGCTGCTGAAACTCTGACAGAAAGCTTCAAAGAAAAGATGAGTATCTGCTTATTTATTATGAGCAACTTGGATGAGTCGCAAATATCAAGACGATGTGTTTTTACGGCATGTGTTTTACTACTTAAAATTAGGCTGCATTTTGTATGCATTGTATGCTGCTTTCTCCAACGGCGCTCTACCTGAGCTACTGCAATTCTCATATGGATAAAAATGAACTGAGAGATGCTCTTATTTTTCACCTGGAATCATTTGTTCAATATTTTAAAGTTAGATTTTTCTTCCATTTTTTTACAGAAACCAAAGCTCCTGAAGAACCTCCTGACGTTTCCACGACAACAAAGAGGAAATGCTCTTCCTGACATGATGAGAGAGATGACCGACCACGAGACAGAGAGCAGAGGCATCATGCTTCAGTCCACAAAGTAAATAAGCTGCATTTTAAAGGATAAAGTCTAAATCTTTGTAATGTGCCTATTTGCTCAATTTCAATATTTATGACAAAAATAATCATAGTTAAACTACAGTTTTTGTATTCACGGTTTTTTTTAATTTCACAGAGAAGGACTATTCCTGAGTCTTTGGTTCTCCTGAAGCTCCTGAGGGTGGCCATCAATCAAACATCACAAAGACGACATCACACAACCAGTTTGATGTGAGGACGCTCCAGCACCACAGCAGTCCAGTGAACACACTGAAGCACCGTCAGCTCCAGACTTTCCCCTCTTTACTTAAGGTTGATGTTTAACTCAATCAAATAAACCAAAAACTCTGACATTTTTAAAAAGATCCTGTGTCCTATGAGATCCTTCAGACTTACTGAATTTCACTTCAGAAAATGTAAACAAGTTCATGGTTACATGAAATTAGACACAGCTGAATTGTTGTTAAAAAAGTTGTGTCACATGAGTACGTTTGAACAGGAGGGAATCACATCAGAAATGTTCTTAAGCATTTCGGAGTGGAGCAAACTGAGAGATGTTGTCATTTAGATATGCACGAAAGGTTTTTCAAAAATACAAACAAACAGAAGAAATGTTTCATAGATAAGAAATGTCTTGTCTTTCCTTTATCTCGTCTGATGGCTTGTTTCTATCTTGCTTTGACTTAACATGTTTGACTGATTGGTCTTCTTTTTATTGGTCTCATTTTTACTGATGGGATACTTTACCTTGGTTTTACTAAGGCCCTTTCTCTTTGAAGCACTGTTGTCACTTCATCATGTTTTGTCCTGTGCTGTCGTTTGTATGTATAAGTAGGCGGACTCACTCACTGTAAACCAAATCTACCCTCATCTTACACACCGTGATAAGCATGTTAATATGAAGAGTAAACATTGCACAGCAAAAAGCAGTTACAGACATCATTGTCATTTGAGATTAAGTAAAAAATGAATGCAAAGAGTATTATATATCGATAAATATGAAATGTAGGCCTATACTAGAGCTATACGCATTCAAAAAAGATAAGATAGATAGATACTTTATTGATCCTGAGGGAAATTCAAAGCATCCAGTAGCAGGTTACAAAGACGTACATGACATGAAACATTTGTTACAAATTAAACCACAAAACTGACGCCCCCCCCCCCATACATATATATTAACCTGAAAAAAAGATTTAAAGAACACCCCTAGATGACTCAAACTTAAACTGTGCAATTAAAAATAGACATAACCCGTGCAGGGATAAAAATATATGTGAAATTTAAACAAGGAAAAAATCTGTAATTAGGATTTTATTTATTTTTAAATATAAAAAAGTGTTGACCTTCTGAGTTGTGTTGTTTATATATGTACAGCAATGTTTTAAAAGCAGATAGTGCAAAATTATCAAAAAACAGAAGTATAATTATAACCAAATGCTTAATGTTTAAATTAATTAAGAAACATTTAAGACACATACATATTTAAGCTTTAGTTTTATAACTAGTTCTACCAACAACAACAAACATTTAATCTTCAACTTGAAAAGTCAAAGCATCTGAGATCTGACAACATCTCTGTCAACTTGGTTATCACCTTTGACTACAGTACCCAGCATGCATCACCACTTACGTTCGTTGGCGCGATTGGCTGACGTAGCCCCGCCCCTGATACTCCCTTCCTAGCATGTTTTCCACTGCAGAGGAGCACAGAGAGCTGTGAACAGTCAGTACAGAGGACTTTGGAGCTGTCAGAAATTTAAATCATGGCGATTAACGGAAGCATTAGCTGCCGCTTGTTTTATAGACTCAATAGTTTTACACATTTGAAACCTATACAATGCCTAAATGCGCTCTATCAGCGACTGTATTCTGGTGCGACGCAAAAGGAAAATGAATTTCAACTTAGAGACTCGACTTTATCAGCTACCAACTTTTCTGCATCGAGACAGGTAATACTGACTAACAGACACTTCCTATAAATTGTTGTTTTTTTAGTTTCTAAGGCCCAACAGCAGGAGAATAAGTGGTGTTATTATAGCTAACCCTTTCAGTGATCAGATCATTTAGTTCAGCTCAGGAATAAGAGTCGGATCTTTCTGCTTCCAAACGACTCTTCATTTTATGATTCAGTCAGATTTAGAAATGTTTTGACTATTAATGAATTATGTGCAATAATATCAGGTAACGTATTCCTTGGATTATACTCAGTCCCATGGTTTATATAATACCATTTTTATACTTTATGTTAAGTATGTTTGATATTAAAAAAAAACCTAAACATCAATATATTTAATTTAATTCTCATGACATAAAGTGAAAATGCATTTTTATCCAGCTTTATTTAAAGACCAGCTCAGCTTATAGAGTTTTACCATGCTTGACTCATCATCAGCAAAGTGAGTTTTTTATTTCACATAGACAATATTTGGTCCATTTGTCATGCTTTCTCTTTGTTTACCTACAAACAACAAGACGGTCTGTGGTCAGCTCAGGGTACCAGAGAGGCTTTACCAGCTGTTACTGACTAAACATTCACCTTAATAATTCATGCTCATGACCCTGGATGAAAATGGATTTGTTAGATACAAAACAATTCAAAGCCCCGTTAGCAGATTAATATGATTGTAGTCTTCATCACAGATAGAAGTTGGTATCCTCAGTATCGGGCTATGCAGTTCGTTTAATGACCATTGAGTCTCATGCTTACCTGTAGGCTGATGACCTCTGACCTTACTGCAGCTCGCTGTTGACAGTCAAAGGTCAGAAGCCATACACTTAACCATGGACTCCGGTCCCTCCCCGCTCCCTGTTTTTATGACCAATGAACTTTGTTTTGAAGTCACACTCACAGCTGAATGGACCTCCCTTCATTGAGTTGTAGTGGTTAAACCAAGGGGCAACCTCCGGTCTCGAAAAATGAAGCCTATGCGGAAGTACAAAAAACTGCAGTTCCTCGAGGTTCCACTTGAGGCTGGCTGCAGAAGCGCCGGAAGTGCCATAAGCCCACAGCCAAAAAAGCCTGTTTTTACCACAGGAATCAACATGTTTACAGCCTGGTTCAAAAAACGAGATATATCTGATAAGTTGACGGCCCCTTCTCCTCACACTGTGGGGGGGGGGGGGATTTTTTTATAACTCATCGGATTTTATTATTTTAAGGAAAACGACTATGCCCATATAAGGGTTGTGGCAGATTTGATTGACAGCTGTGCGCGCTGCATCTGTCTGTCAGGTCAGCAGGTCAGGAGGCTAACAGCTTGATCCGTCTGATTTCTTCTCTTTCTTACTTCGTTTGGAGAGTTTGTTTAACACATATCTGACAACATACATGGCTTGCTGTGCGGTTAACAGACCATCCAACAAGTTGATGCTTCAGTTTTTTTCGGTAAGTGATATAGTAGTGTTATATTTACTGTATACTTGTGTGTCGGTATTTATATTTACGGACCTAGCTTGTTTAGCGTTAGCTTGTAAACCAGTCGGCTAACTGTGTAGCTCATTATTTACGGTCAATGGTTTAAAAAATGTTTGTTGTTAAGATGTTGTTGTTGAAAATAATGAGTTTGTGTGATGTTAGAAGCTAAAGGTTCACCTCGGTGGTTAACCACAGACTGTAAATATGGTTATCTGACGTTATGATGAATGTTATACTCCACGTAAATGTCGACATTAAAAAACAAACTTTGTGTAGTAATTATCCGTCAGTAACATAAACTGAACTCAACCTAATGTGCTGTGTAGGTTATAGAGGATGACATTAAAGTTACATGGTTGATGTAGTGTCTTAAGATTTGAGCAAACTGTTAACAAATAAAAAAAAAAAACTATATTAATAACCATGAGTTCAGTGAACTCATACACAGAATATAGCAGTAGAAATATAAAATATAAATAACATATGGAATGAAAATAAGATATAAAGCACATAGATATAAAGTATAAGAAATAGTTTGAAGAATACAGCCATGTACTGAGCTCATGTTAATAATAAATGAGTTACTGTATGTTCTGTACTGAAGCACAGAGAGTTGGGACCTGTTAATGATTAAAATAATTCAGGTTGTATTTGTTTCATGTTAAGATGAAGTACTATCCACAATAAACTGCTTAATTTTTCCTCACACAAAATCTGAGACAATTTGATGTGGAATATCATTGTGCAAGTGAGAGAGCTGAAAACAGCATGATTACAATAATGTTTATCTTCTTAACTTTGAATAGATGTTGATTACCTGAATACTGTACCTTTGTTGTCTGGGTAGTACACTGTTGAATTTATAAATGTGCTCTTACACACAGATGAATATAGAAAAATAGATGAGAACAAAAAAATGATTTAATGAATAACTGATATTTTCTCTCTTTCTTTGCCATCCTGAAGACCCCTCACTAAAAGTCCATGTTCTCCTGGATCCATGTCACATGCTCGAGCTTCTTCAGAATGACTTTTCAACAGTTGAAGTTCTTCTGAGAGAAGATGTCCAGCAGATAAGACAGCAGTACATGAAGGAGCTCCACAAGCTTCAGGAGGAGGAGGAGAGTTTGCACTTTGGAAGACTGTATTCATGCTGTTCAAATAAAATAGATCTCCTCCAAACAACTTGCAATCAAACTTTTTTCTTCCCATTTTAAAACCCTTTGTCCAGTTTAGATGGGAGAAGTTGATATTATGTGATATTGATCTGGGAAGACTACATTTCTAAATCATTTTTAACTGTGTTTTTATTTACAAGTTATTGATATTATTTACTCTCCATGTATCTTGATTTAAGAATGGAGCTGTGTTTAAGGGCATATTTTTGCAATGACTCTGTTCCATCCCATTTTAAGAAATGAACTACATTAGTATTTGGTAAAAAAAAATGTTGCAAGAATAAAAAGTTGTGTAAAAGTAGACTTCCTTCCCTAAGCTATTGAGTTGAGCATTAATGCACATTTTAGTCTTGTCATTTCAAATCTGAAATGTATACTCATAAGTAGACATAAAGGAGTGCATTTATATAGAAATATTTATTTAATCTGAAAAACAACATTAAAAAAAGTCTGTTTTTACAGCAGAGATGAACATGTGGGGGGGGGGATATTTTGATGACTCATCAGTTTTGATTTGATGAAGGATAAGAGTTATTCACAATAAGACGTGTAGCTGACCAGCTTGACAGGCGGGTGCGGTGTAACGGTTTGTCAAGAGGCTTAAAACACGCCTCAGCTCTCAGCCTGTGGGTGTCATCACTCAGGCCATCCGGGGGAGACCTCCCTCACAGCGAGCTGTTGAAGAGAAGCAACCGAAGTCCACCCCAGAAGAACCAACAAATACAGATGTTGTTGAGGCTCAGGTTTCTTCCTCTGTCTCTGCAGCTCTCTGGGCACCTCGATGGACCAGTCACCAATAATCCACACTGTGTCTATAGGAGAAATACAAAGGTGTTCAATTAATGCCTCAGACAATACAAAATGTACAGTTAACTATATGTGACAGCTCAGGGTGTTTTTTTGTTATTAGCCACATCTGCAGGAATAATATTGAACAAGGTAGCTGCAACTCCTAATAATAGATGCCAGTCTTAAACACTATTTTTTCTAATACTTAAAGTTTTTGGTGTGAAGCTGACACTGTCCACAGACTCCATGACTTCATGGGGTTCAATAGAAAACAAATGTCTTATAATAAATACTAAATAATTGTTTTTAAATTGTCATCGCCGTTGACATCAGTAAATATAAAACACAGACATTCCTCTTTTTATCAGAACAGTAACATGAACTGTATGCTTTGTAATATTGATTTCTTCTGGATGTCTCATATTTATTTACAGTTTATGGATAAAACTTTGTTAATGTATTTCTCTGCTAACACTGACAAAGTCTAACTGCTCTGACAAATAACTAATAACCATAGTTGTATATTTAAAAAAGTGTAGTTTTAAGACTTTAATTAAATATTTGTGTTGAATATAATTAGTTTTAACTGTGTTGTAGAAAAGTTAAATGTTAACTTACTGTTTATAGAGTTTTCTCAGGACGAGCAGGAATAGTTGATGATAGCAGCCTAGCTGTTAGCTATGCTGTCAAGTGGACTGCTAACGTCGAGCTGAATGGGCGGAGTTAAGTCCCGCCGGTCCCGCCTTACTGCTGTTGCTAGGTTGATCCGAAGTTAGGTTGAAACTGCAAATCCAATATGGATGCGGCCGTCGATTGGACTAATTTTCTGCCTATGTAACAGACGGGTCAGGGTTCGTCCAGTAATATTTACAGTCTATGGGTTAAACCCACTCTTCTGAAAAAAGGAACGTTGTGTAATTGTGGTTTAAGTGACTCAAATGATGTTAGTCTACATATAGACTGATCCGGGGAAAAACAGGAAGTTGACAAGCCGCCATTACTGCTTTGGCATCTCCCTTCAGCAGCTACGTTTAACATCGACGTAAATAAAGTAAAAACTTTAAAGGCTTTATATGTGATTTTCTGATCCAGCAGATGTCGCCCTTGAGGCACCAGCTTGAAACCAAAACAACTCATGGTGCATTGTTGTGTTAGCATGCTAATGCTAGTGATCTTTATTATGCCCGTATCTTCACACTGCATGTAAATTTACCTGAAATGAGTGTGATCTAGAAACACAGTTAAGCAGTGAGTACAGTATGTTATTCTTCTTTTCTCTAGTCCTTCAATTAAACAACTTTTATACATGAGGGGAGGAGTCAGCCGGCCGTCCTGGTGATGTAAACAAACTGAAGATAGGACTCTGAAAACATCACAGACAGTGGGACTCGGGTGTTACACCCATTGTAGACAGTCATGACTCACAGAGTTATTTTCAGAGGATATACTTGATTTATATTATATTTAAGTGTGAGAAGACAAGAATATAATAACTACAATAATGAGTCATCTCTGCCCTCTCTGAGTGGTCTGTAGGTGGTGCTTAGTTGTTTGTCACCAGGTGAATCATGAAATGATCTCATATATAACGTTCGTAGTGATTACATGATGCTCGCTGATTGAATCAGTTGGATTCAGTATTTCACGATGCTGTTTGACCTCAGACATGGTCTATATTTACTCAAATTCTAACCAGAAAACAGTCCAGGCTTAACTTCTGAATCTGACCGGGCTGTGTGTATAAACATTAATATATATATTCTACCTGTCAGAGGAGATAGGGCTCGGAAAATAATCTTTTAATACCTGTTTAAAAACACACATTTACAAACAGTCTCATGCGAGTCACTCATTGGAGATTTGATGTTTTTTTAAAGTCTTTCGTCGTCGATTTTTGTCATTTATTTATTTCGTTCATGATGTATTTCATTATTTAACACCTTCATTTCTTAGTTTGTATTCCTGCTTGTCAGTGGGGTTTTTGTTGGAGCCACCCTGTTTAGGACTTTTGTTTCTATTTCTTGTTATGCTTCTTTAAATCTAGCTGTGTTGTTTTTTTATTGGATGGAAGTCCACATGTAGACATGGGCTTTTATTATAATAGAGTGCTATGCTGATGCACGGTCACTGACCCAACATTCAGTTAAAGGCAGGGTTGGTCATTTTCTCCAGACACACTTATTAAGATTTTGGTTGAAACTTCGACCAATGTCTGCTGCGAGGTACCACTTTGATGAACCAATCATGCCTCCCTGCTTGTTCTTTAACCCTTAGCCCACACTCAAAGAGCGCCATCGATGACGGAGTTCATACTGTGAGTTTGTTATTGGACGTTGTGAGTAGTAAAATAGTCTTATGTATTATGATAAAGTTTAGTGTTTACTTACCGCTGAATGAGACTTGAGATGACGTAGTTTCTACACAATGTAAGCGATGAGCTGAGGTCCGCTTCTGGAGCAACGGCGCTCTAGGTGAGGGGGCGTGGCTTTAGAGGGAGCGCAGAGGGGATGCTACTTTCAAAATCATGCTAGTTTTTCGAAAAAATGACCAACCCTCCCTTTAAGCCTCAATATTCTACCTATAATCTTTAACTAGACATTAAAAAGGATAAAAATTAATGTAGAAATCTTTAATTTGACAGAAAAAAAAGACACATCATGTTCACTGTACGCTCATTATTCCCTGAGTGTCTGACATTGTCCTGTTGTCTTTAACCCCAGGAGACGCTAGGAGACAGCAGCATACTTCCCTTTTCAGCGTTTTTGACGGACAACTTTGGCCGGCAGCACAGCTACCTGAGAATCTCCCTGACTGAGAAATGCAACCTGCGCTGTGAGTACGATCCCACTGGGCCATGTCACAGGATACAGGTTCTTCTCCTTCCTGATACCGCCCTGATACCTGTATCTTTCATGCCTCCAGTACAGTCTTGTGTATCAATCTGTAACTGGGATTTATCAGCCTTAAAAACAACAACATTTCTCTCAGGAAATCCAATCTGCTAGTTAAAACAAACAGAAGCAGGGATGTCTGTGCTGACATCAGAGATGGTTAAGAACTTTGCTGCCACCATTGATTTATGAGAACCGCCACCTTCGACTTCTTTCTTAGAGCAGTGAACTGATTTCAGGTCATTTATAACCTTTTTTTGAGAGCAAACAACAACAGTTCTGAGCTAGCAGACAACGTACCATCGGTCAGATCTAAATAAAGAAGTTGTGCTCTAGTTTAGTGTCCTCCAATGGTTCAGTGCACACAGCACATTAGGAGAGGCCTGTGTTACCTCAGATTGTTTCAAGGTAATCCTCTTGTGTGTTTTAGGTTAGGATTCCTTCAGTGTTTATCTTTAGAGAGGTTTTTAAATAGGGACTTCAATATCTGAAGGCGTGTGCTTCGCTCCTCAACGATCACATCAGGTGATAAAAGCTGTAAAAAAAACAATCAGTAGTCAGTAAAATGAGTGTCTCTTGATACTCTTAAAGGAACAAAAGTAGAGATATTAGAAAACGAATCATGAGAAGAGTGTTTTCTTTCCGCAGTAGGAATGTTCATAGCTGCTTATTTCCTCATGGATTAAACAAAAAATTTAAACGCAGACTAGTCGACTAGTCCAAAGATAAGAAAACACTTCTTGTGCAGTTTTCAGAGCGAGTAGGGTCACGGCCCCGGTCCAAAACAAAGGCATGTTAATGTCATGGTTTGCTGACCGGGTTAAACGTTAGCAGTGTTAATACCAGCAGCCTTTGGTCCTTCCAGCATGTTAATGTCCACATGCCTGTGCTGAGTGTAGTTACATATTGCTCCGGTCAATTTGCTTGATGATGGATTAACGTTTGGTCTTTCTAAAATACAGCAATGAGTCATTTTACCTGCTTTCTGTAAAGTGTAACATTTGTTATGAATTGGCGCTATGCTAATATTGACACACAGTAGTTATTGAATGAATGTGAACTTGTTGATGCAGTGACACCATCATCACATCTTTGAGTATCCTCCTTACCTTTGACCTTCTTCCATTCTTCAGGTCAGTACTGCATGCCGGAGGAGGGGGTGAAGCTGACGCCCCGGGCCCAGCTGCTGTCCACCTCAGAGGTGCTGACTCTGGCTCGCCTCTTCGTCCAGGAGGGGGTGGAGAAAATCCGCCTGACTGGAGGAGAGCCTCTCATCAGACCTGATGTGCTGGAAATCATCGGTAAGGAGCTTGTCCGAAACAGAGTTGTGAGCGCCTTCATCAGACTGATATGCTTGCGAGGAGGTAACGTCAGTTTAACAGTAATCATTTATTAGCAGCTGCTAAGACATGGTTAATCAAAAATGGAGATAATTGAGCTTTGAATAAGGAGCATAAAAACAGGTCAGGGGTTCATCCCCAGCTCCTGCAGCCACATGTCCAACGTGTCATTGGGCAAGACACTTGCCCCCGAATTGCTCGCACTTTGTAAGCAGCGTATAAATGTGTATGAATGGGATTACTGTGGTGTTTGTGTGTGTGTGTGTGACCATCTATATATCAGTGTTTACTATCTAAGGCCATCACATGATTCAGTTAATATCTTATCAATTCTAACTTGTCTAACTAACGTGAAGAGAGAAAAGAAAAGAGAGGGGAGGAGCTGATTCTCTGTTGATGACCTCAGGTTAAGACATACGGGGGGGGGGGGGGGGTGCTAGATTATGGTAGGGATAAATTATGATGCATCTTCGGCCAATTTGCATCACATCGCATCGAGAATACTCTCACAGCCTTAAAAACTAATATACATGAACAAAGCAATGTGGTGTGACCATTCTATAATATCTTAGTAGGAAGAGAACCCGAGTCTACAAACAGCCCCATAAAGATCAGTATTTATCACTGTGTCAGGCCTCTGCTGTGACCTCACATGACCCTGAACATTTCCTGTAGTGAATAATTCACATTAAGAGGAAAGAGAAGCCGGAGTCCGCATCTACCGTGTGTGCTGGTTTGATTTTCTGACACTTTGTGAAAATAAGTGGAGTAGAAAATGAGATTATAGGCACGATATGAGAAAAATATGCGATGTGCGATTGCATGGTCATAATGATCTTGACTGCATATCAGCCATTACTCACAGCTTGTGTCTATCTGCTGTTCTCCATGTTTGACACAGGATCTGTCTTTGCAACATGTCTCTCATGAATCCATAAGACATCCAGAGTATTGTTTCCCATCACTACATGTGCACCGATTAATCTGAGGGGAAGCTAATAGCTAGCTTTAGCTTCCTCTGACTGCATCAAAATGGAGTTCATGAATGGTGTTTAAAGCCAGCTGAAAGTTAAACATGCTGAGTGAAAAATCCTCTCTTAGGGTTAAGAGGGTTATTTTTCTTTCATTTTAATGTGATAAATTCAGACATTTGTAATTGCTACTGTTTCTAATTGAAACTCAATTAAATGCCCGGCTCTAACTCAGTCTATAGATGGCTTTTATTTATCGAGTCGTGTCGGTCACTCACAGTTTTGCGATCAAAACATCTCAAGTTTTTGCAAAAGCTGCTGGGAAACCAGACATCAGGCTGCAACAGTTAAAGCAAGTGAAATCCAGGAGGGAGTCATATGTTGAACGTCTCTATTTCTGGAATATAACAGACTCAAATATTTAACATCACAGTTTCCTCTCTGTGTTCACCCTCTTCCTCCTTTCTCCTGTTCCCATTTCTGACTCTACGTCCACAGCAGAACTGAGGAAGCTGGAGGGCCTGAGAACCATCGCAGTGACCACCAACGGCATGAACTTGGCCAAGCTTCTGCCTAAGCTTAAAGACGCCGGACTTGACCTGATTAACATCAGCCTGGATTCGCTGGTCCCGGCTAAATTTGAGTTTATTGTAAGGCGGAAAGGTACGAAAGACTATGTGGGTTCATGTCATGGATGCATTTAAGAGAACAGTGTGCATAGACAGATGTGTGAAAGGTTTAGCAGCTGTCAGACCTGTAGGTTTAGAGAATCTTGTCTCTTAGCGTGTGAAGGAAAACAAACAAGGGCTGTGCTGATAAAAAGCTCTGGCCGCTTGTAAAGGAGTACCTTTAGCTCTTTACATATCAGTGGTTATGGATCCTTTATTAAATCATGTGTAAAGGCAGTTAACAGTGAAAGCAGAAGCCTGACATATTGGACTTTAAAGACGACAATGTTTGATAAATATTGAAATCCAATTTGTTCCCCAGGGTTCCACAAGGTCATGGAGGGTATTGACAAGGCCATCGAAATGGGCTACAACCCTGTCAAGGTACTTAGTTCATCCATTTAAAGTTGTTTTTACCCCAGAAGTGTTTTCTATACTCTATACAGTTTTGTTTGTTATTACATTGCAACCTTCAAGTGGTCTTTGTAAATGGATATGTTAACATGTAGGACGAACAGGAAGGATGAGAAGAAGAGTGCAGTTGTCTAAAATGTGGTCCTCATTGAGCTGTGTGTCGTGTGCTGCCCCCTGTAGGTGAACTGTGTGGTCATGCGAGGCCTGAACGAGGATGAGCTGCTGGATTTCGTGGCTCTGACGGAGAAGAAGCCTCTGGAGGTGCGCTTCATTGAATACATGCCTTCGATGGTGAGTGCTTACTTTCCACAACAGAGGGCTGGAAAGGTACACATAGAGAGAGATCGTATTACTGAGTCATGTTTATACATCGTTTACATTTTACTTCAGACATTTCAATCTGAATGCAGTTGGAGAGATGGTATACTGATGTGCTGGATGGATTGTTTATAAGCTGAAACATGTAGTATTATATGCTTTTTCTCCCATTTATTTCAATCAATAATCCAAACTGCGCTCCTGTGATGATGATGGGCTCAACAGGGGCTATGCCGTTTTGTGAAGAGACCCCTAGCATCAGGCTAGAGCCATGCTTGAGTTGGGCACACAGAGTCCATGTCAGACAGTCGCTTGCCCTATTCACTGAACAAATATGTGTGTGTCGTGAAGAGAGCGAGGGATCCAGACTGATGCAGTAAATATTTGCGTGTGTTTCATACGTTGGCATTGTAAACATTTGTGCAACTTTGAGTGGATTTTCCTCTGACGTGCAAGGTCTCATCCTCTCCCCATGCAGGCAACAAGTGGAACTTTAAGAAGATGGTTAGTTACCAGGAGATGCTGGATCGTATCAGGCAGCAGTGGCCCGACCTAGAAATGCTTCAAACTGGACAAACAGACACAGCCAAGGTCAGTGCCTCCAACTGTACTCCATAACTCAAATACTCATTTGCTGCTAAGTGTGCTGAAACACTGCCAATACCAACGATTATTTTCCTTTGGAAAACTTTATTCTTGATAAAGCTGGGATATGTTTAAGTATTATTCAAAGAAATTATGTTTTTAAAAGCGGTTGGATTCTTATCACCGGACATATGTAAAGAGACAATCGATTACTTTTTCACTGGTTTTGAATAATTGAAGCTTTTGTTAACTGTCCGACTCTCTTTTTTGTCTTCAAACAGACATTTAAAGTGCCAGGCTTCAAAGGTCAGGTTGGATTCATCACCTCAATGTCGGAGCATTTCTGTGGCTCCTGCAACCGCTTACGCATCACAGCAGACGGCAGCCTCAAGGTAAAGCTACCGCTCTTTTGATGGAGGGTACCCAAATGAAAGCCCACCTTCCAGTCAACTGCTCAAAGCATGTTGGGATACAAAGCTTTTTAACAGCTCTCTCCTGAAACCTGTGGGCTGCTGGTTTGTTTGAAATGACTTCTAAATTTGAGATAAGTGACAAGCAGAGGTGGACGGCACAACTCTGGGTGAATTGGATGTCAGTCAGGTGTCACAGACCCAATCCCAATCTCCACACCCACTGACTTCTTTAATTTTTTTTAATGCTGCGCATCGGCTGAGCTAGTGGGGAAGCACAGCGCTGTGTGTGTGAATATCTGACTGTGTGTCTGTGGAGCCCCAGATGTGCCTTGCTCTCTAGCGCTTGTGAATTCACAAACTGGGACACCAATATTAAGCCGCTGCCGAATCTATATGAATGTACAGAGATGACGTAATAATGGTTGAGCTTAGATACCGCGCTGTTGCAGAAATGAGTCTGAACAGGACTTTTGACAAAGCACATTTTCAAAGATTCCCTCAAAGATTACTTTACAGCCCGTCTCACAGCTTTTTGTACATATTAGTCATTTAGACCTAAGCCTTCATTTATTGTCCTCTCTTCCCTCCTTGTCTGTCTTCTTTCAGGTGTGTTTGTTTGGGAACTCTGAGGTGTCCTTGAGAGATTTCTTGCGCTCAGGATCATCAGAGGAAGAGCTTCTGCAGATCATCGGAGCAGCAGTGGGCAGGAAGAAGAAACAACATGCAGGTAGACTTGTCTTCAGACACACCGGGGTCGGGGTAAACTTCCACATGAAATGTTACAATCTTCTGTTTGCGTCTCCAGGAATGTTCAATATCTCCAAGATGAAGAACCGGCCTATGATCCTCATTGGTGGGTGACATGGCTGTACGTACAAACCTCTCACACTCAGATTTTTCCATCACTGCCCAGTCAGGATTTTCTGTAAATACCACTGTATTTGCAGCCCTTTCACACTGAAATATAGACAATCAAATGTACATTGAACCAATGACAGATACAATCTTGATCGTATTCCTACATGTTTGAACCTGAGCTCTATAATTTGGGGTCTAAATGACAAACAGGTACAAAAAGCTGTGAAATGAGATCGCTTCAACCAGCAGATGTGACACTGGCTGTAATTTTTGCAACAGTTTGTTTGCATGAAAAACACTGATCAAAATACTTCCATTCCAACTGTATTACCACAAAGTCATTTAGATCTAAATATATATAGAAGGATCAGGTGTTACCATATTAAAGTAGTATTACATCTTCATCTACATACACACTTTCTTGTTTTTAGCATTGTCCTTGACAGATGCTCCTTTTTCCAACAGGTACCAGATTCCAACCGCCTATGTCACAAGACAGCCAGAGAGATTTCCCCATTGTTTCCCAGCTTCCAAACAACACAGTCCTCTCTGCAGACACAGCTCCTCATATGTGCGCTTCAGGCAGCAGGAGAGTCCAAATGAGAGAAATGGATTTATTGTGCCTTCCACACTGCACTCGTTCAATACAAGGAGACTGTTTTTGCTCCTCTAGGACCCAAATGAGTGGGGGAATTCATGCCTGGTCAGAAATGAACAAAGAAACACCCAATGTGACAGAAAACATCCAAAGTGAAACACTTCTTCCCTCCTCTGAGATTGTTGATAGTCTCAATTTCAGCAGGACTTCAAATTCAACCTCCCGCACAAATATCAGGAGAAGCATTAATGAAGGCTGTCTCAGGTACGCAATAGCCAGGAGTCCTAACGTTCTGAAGAAGAACGTACTCAGGACTCTAGGAACGCCTGTTTTTTGCACACTAATGAATGCCAAAATGAATGTAAAGCACTACAATGTTAGACTGTGCCATAATAAAAGCTCAAGTGAAGACCATAGTCTTAAACTCCAACGGTGTGTCAGTGATCAGAGTAGGTCAAGCACAAGCGTCTCCAACACCCACCAGAATGAAACCACTGAAGCCCAGCTGACGCACACAGACGCCCAGGGCCGTGCCTCCATGGTCGATGTAGGGGGGAAAAATCCCACACGGCGAGCGGCCACAGCCAGTGCCACCGTCATCCTGGGCCCCATCGCATTCCAGCTGCTGAGGGACAACCAGCTGGCCAAGGGTGATGCCCTGGCCGTGGCACAGTTGTCTGGCATCATGGCTTCCAAGCAGACCTCGGTCCTCATCCCACTCTGCCACCCGCTCCCCTTGGACCACGTGTCCGTCACCTTTCACCTGGATGAGCTGCAGGACGCTGCGGTCATCACAGCAACGTGTCGCACTACGGGAAAGACAGGGGTCGAGATGGAGGCCTTGACAGCAGTTTCTGTTGCAGCATTGACCGTCTACGACATGTGCAAGGCCGTGAGCCATGACATCGTCATCACAGATGTCAAACTGGTCAGTAAGTCAGGCGGGAAGAGGGACTTTCATCGTCAACAATAAATCATCATGAAGAAAACTGAGAATCAATGATTTGTAATCGGCATGAAGAAGTGCACCTTTTTCACTTGATTTGATGTATGTTCTACAAGCTGAAGGTAGTGATCAGAAAGAAGAAAATATATAAAGTTATAGAAAAAATGAAGAGACCACTGCAAATAGTTCTTAATTCAGCATCTCTATGCATAGAAGGCATCCTTTTGTAGTGTCTGATAAAATTCAAAGGAGGCACACCTCATTATACTAATTGAGGATTTGGTGATCACCTCACAAACCATTCAATAAAGCTGAGCTGCTTGAATTTTTGCGTCAAGAGTGGTATAATGTCCCCCAACAGCAATGTGAAAGACTGTGTGGAGAGCATGCCATGACACATGAAAGCTCTGGTGGGACGCTGGTTTAACTCAGTTGGTAGAGCATGAGTCCCACATACTGAGGCCTCGATGCTTGTTTGACACCTGACCATGACCATTTGGTGCACGTCATTTCATTCTCTGTCTCTTCTCAACTTTCCCTGTCCAATAAAGACAAAAAGACTGAAAAATAATCTTGAAAAGAAAAAACAAATCAGCAATGGGTTGCACCAGCTTTGCATAAATCCAAGCATAGGTTAGTTCCCACTGGAGATTACATCCCTCATAAATGATCATGAAGCGTTTTAAAGCCTTGTGCTGTAGTTGATGATTTGACCACTAGATGTCACCGTTGTTTCTTTACACCAGCTGTACATTAAGAATGTAGTTTTTAGTTATAACCTGATCATCCTGCCTTGTCATATTTTGCAGAACTTTTTTGTTGCTCTTTGTCCATTAACAGAAGTTACTCTCAGCTGTTTGTCTGTTTTAAAGACAACAAGGCTTGAGAGACAAACACACTGCATTAAGATAAAAGCTTTCCACTGACTGCTCACATGAAGTTAAAACTTCATCTCTGAAACAATATTTTGGTTAGTTTAGATGTGACGATATATAATCGTTACAATGAACCTTACATCCCTGTGGGGTAGACAAACACTGACATGACTGAAGCTGCAAATCAACAAGTTTCTGAAATGACTATTTTTCTTACATGTTGAATTCTTTGATAAACCTCAATGAACTATGAAGAATATTAAATTAAGAATGAAGTCTAGGTACTTGACCTGTTAAAGCTGGCAGAAACAGATGAATGGGAACAGAGGAGTGTGTGTGTGTCTCTAAATGACCTCTTCTCACCTGCTTCGTGTTGCTGTAAATAACTTCACTACATGTCTGAGCATTTGACATTTGGGGTTGACTCAACTGTAAGAAATATAACAGTAACTACTTTCAGCATTCCCCTCCAAAGCTAGTATAAAGTGAAATGTTTAGAACGGGGAAGGCTATACTTTACTTTGACCTCTTCAGTGCAAACTGGAAACATGACAGTGAGGTGACCGTTCTATACCCATTACTTTTTACATAGTTGAAGATTATTTTTCTGTGGCCCTACTCCTCTTCCGTACAAATAACACATAAACCTGTTCCCTGTCAAAGTTTTGTGATGGTTAATTTGCTGTTTGTGCTCGGAGATATTAATAAAGTAATTTCATAATTATCATATGTGTCAAATCACTGATTTCTAAGGTAGTTTTAGTATTTGTATATTTCTGATATTAGGCATCTACAGGCTTGCTCCAACAATATTTTGTTGTACTTGTACAGTGACAATAAACATATCTTATATCTTATCTCAGTAGTTGCACTCAGAGGACTTTGGTGGGAACAAAAGCGCACCAAACCCCAAACCGAATTCCGTGATAATGTTGCATTGATACAGCCTTGGCCGTCCCAATTTTTTATTTTTAATGCTGTTTATTATCATTCATTATTTATTGTTGTTTGTGTTGATCGATTCTGTTCACTGTTTTTTTTTATGTGAGATTTTGTGGGAGAAACCAGAGCATCTGGAGTAAACCTTAACACACACAGAACATCCAATCTCATCAACACAAAGGAGGACATTCATGTGCCGCTAGCCGCTGATGCCTCATGGTGACTTGAAAAGGGAAATAGAAGAGGGGAACAGAAAGGTTGAGTAGAAAGAGAAGAAAGGGACAGGACAATGATGTCTGTTAACCATTTAGGTCTTTCTGGTCAGCAGCCTTTTGAACTCCAAGTTTTGCTTAATGTACTTGGTCTGCACAGTGGCCAATCTCCTCAAGGATTCTCGAGACTCCTTAGAATGGTAGTTGTAATACTCGGCAAGCTGGGGGCAGGACTGTCCTTTGAATGTGTTCTTTCAGTTAGTAGATGGCAAACGGTTTACCAGCGGATTGATACATTTGTTGGCTCTGTTAGATGGTGGCGTCTTGTTCTGTTTCAAACACTTTGTGGTGCTCTGTATATCTTCAGTGTCATATATTGACCCTGACTCTTGGGTGTCAGAAATTGAGAGACAGTGGTTCTGCTTTAGATGTACCTCACCTAGCTCTCCAATGTGAGCAGTGCCAGAGTTATGCAAAGTTTTCTCTGTACCATTTGCTTGATGCTGAGACAACTCTGCACTAGCAGGAGAACACTCGGCTGAAGTTTCTCCCGCCCTGAAATTGTCTCTACAGGAAATGGATGTAGGACTTCTCAGCCTCCACCTGTCATCCCATTTGTTAAATATTTTAGTCTCTTCGTCCAATGATAGAAAGGGGTCATATTCCTCCTGCAAATCATCTTTCTTCTCTTCTTCTTGCTTCTCTATGCTGATGGTGATCTAAACATGAGCTTTTTACACTTTACCGGCTTGTTATTAGCAGTAGATCTTTGCATGCACTTCTTCTCCCTTTCTTTCAGTTTCTCGAGTTTCAACCTAAACTCCTCTGCACGCAGCTTCATCATCATCTCTATGTAATGCTTATTTCTCATTTCTGCTAAAACTTCTTCAGGAATTTTGTCAAGCTGATCAAACAGTCTAAACATACGGCGCTCCAAAGTGTTGAGAGTGTTAAACCGAGTATCTACTATGGTGCGATACACATCAGTCACATCTGGACTGTCCAGGCATCTCCCCACCAAGGCTGCACATAGCCTTGGACTGAGGCAAGAAGTCGATGACAATTTGTTTATACTTAGCGTATTTACGCATGATTTCTTCAGTCTGTTCCAATTCATTTTTAATGGTCGCTATTTTGTCATGTAAGTCCTCACTTATCACGTTTAAATCCTCTTTTGAATTGTGCGCTCTATCAAAGTCCAAGTTGGCTTTTGCAAGTCTTTCCTCAGCTCTGTTGAGTGACTCCCTGTGACCTTTTTTAATACGATCAAGCCGCCGCTCAAGCTGTGACACATCCTGCACATCCTTTGCTTCTATAGCTTTGTGAAACTTCTTAATCTCACATCTTTTTATCACCAGGGATGCCAAAATCATGGCTCTCTTCTTTTCGATAGAGAGAAATTTCTGCTCCGGTTGTCTGTTTGCCATTGTGTTTGTTATTTTATAAAACTCAATCGCACCTGACAAAATAATAGACTTTGAACTGGGATGAGGTTTGTTTTGCTCCTGTTTGTCTCTGTGGCTGTGTTAGCTATGTGTTTCTAGACGTTTGTGTGTTCTAGGACACAAATAACAGGCTGGCACTGACATCACAACTATCCTGTGACATCACAGTCCTTTGCTGAAATACACAAAGATGCACAAACAGGATCATATGAACATGCACTAATGGAGAGGTCTCAGAGTGAGGGGGCTGCCCACAGCGAGCGCTTCAGAGCAGTTTTGGGGGTTTGGTGCCTTGCTCAAGGGCACCTCAACAGTTCTCAGGAAGTGGACTGGTACCTCTCCAGCTACCAGACCAAAATGAAAATTGATGGAAATTACACACGTACATCCTGAATTTGAACACACAAACTCTCATATCTGCTGGGAATTAAACCAAAATGTGAGATTAGAGCTGCACAATGTATCACAGCCTGTTAGAAGCTGAGGACAACCAGACGAACCTGAACACACACAAATACAGACACACACACATGAACAAAGCTACAGAAAAACTACTACATAAACATAATTACAACACACACACACACACTAAAACATTCAAACCTAGGTGAGAAACAGCTCACTAAACGTTCCCACACTTTGAGAAGTAGCCTACTGTCATGAGTTGGTGTGGTGAGTTTTCCTTTTTTTTGTGTGGCGTCATTAAAACGTTTCACCTTAGTGAGCACGTATTATAACTTTTGTAGACACAAATAAACAGCCAGTTGACCGCTGCTGCAATCATCAGTCACAGAAACTTCTGCATGCAACACCTTCAGAGACGAGGACGTCTCACCACAATCTTTTGTGCTTGTTCCCTTTCCCATGGAGTGATTTCCTGTCCTCTTAATAAACCTGAGGAGAGAATCTAAGAAGTACGAAATCAAAGTGAAAGCTTTTGCCATGAAAAATAACATTTGTAAATTAGTAAAAACCTAAAACACATTTTATTTCAGAGCTGCTGAAACATCCCCATGCTTCTGATATTATTCACCATTATTAGTGCTGTTTAAAGCTGAAGATATCACACAATAAGGGCTCCCAACATCACTAGTTTTTGAACAGACAAAGCTTTGATGAAAACTAAAGATGTAGAAAAGGAGGATTTCAAGCAGCAGCCACAATAAAGATTTGCGCTATTATTAACCTGTAGAAGACGTGAGAGCATGCAGCTTCTCCTGTTCCTGTAAATCAGCATGTTTCTTAAAAGTCAGCTGCTTTAAAAATAAGGGTGGTCCTGAAATAACAGAAGGACTTTTGATTGGTTGCTGCCCAAGACTGATAAACCTTTCTCCTGTTTCTATGCTTCTTTACAACTCATACAGTGATCTTATTTGTATTTGGTGTGAGCTGGGGACAAACATTCATATTTGAAGATCATTTGTGTGTTTGATGTTATATTCATTAACAGATTGTAAAGTCTTTTTTGTCAGTGCCGTACTTAGCACTGTGATAACAGTTACCTTAAATCAACTCCAGCCTGCAGGGAAGATCAAGTTTCCTATTTTTTATTTTCACACAATCCCCTTCCTGTCTTGGCAGAATTGAATATCTGACTTTATACAGAGAAAAGCTTCATGTTGTAGCCGTTATCAGCAGCGTTTTACAACCTCTCTTCCTGCAGGACTCAGGACTGTGGAGTAACATTCCTTACATTCCTTAAGTTGATTACTTTTACCAAGGAACAAAGGAACTGATCAATGATTTAAGTCTCCCTCTCAGACAGGATGTTTTGAACTTTTACAACACCTGGAATAAACAACCGAGCGGAAACAGAACACTCTGCTATCTACGAATTGACCCCAAAAACATGAACTGTGACCGAAACCAGTCGTAAGTCGTAAAATTGACCATCTGTTGAAGGACTGCTGAAGAACTGAATTAAACCACATTTGTAATTGTTACATTGAATGTATTATAATCATCTTTTTAAACTCAAAATCTGATCTTCAGAACAGCAATAAGAGTTATATTATGTTTAATAGGAATTTGACGTGGAGCACTATTGCCATCTAGTGTTAGAATATCCATGAATACGTAACCTTCATAATTATACATTTAGACGTGTTATAAAGCATACTCTTTGATATTAGCTATAGAAGGTTTTATTTAAAGACACCAATTTCTTTACCTACTTTATTAATATGTCTTATTAAGAATGCTGACTGTATAACATGTTTTTGTTCACTTACAGGCTGGGATTAACTGAGGATGTTCCCAGATGGTGTGATTTTCATCTCAACATGAATCTGATAGAAATGTTTGTCTAAATATATGATGTGAACCTACATCAACGTGGATCTGATAGAAATAATATTGAAATTAATGTATGGTGACGTATATATGTTTAGATTCTTATTCTTAATCTTACTGAGTAAACTCGGTTTAGTTTAAACAATTGTCCTCCGGTCAGAATGGGAGTCACCCGTGGGCGGCACCCCTCTTTGCCTGCAGACCCCCCTCCTCCCATCCAGGTGATAAGAGTTCACACTGAGCTCAGATCTTTAGTTTTTCTCTTAGTTTTTGGTTTGTGAAGTTTAGAGCTTCAGCTCTTGCTCGCTTCTCTTCAGACTTCGGTCCGAATCACTTCTTTTAGGTTTGTGCCGTAGAGACGAGTCTCTGCCGAACTCTCTTTTTCACACAAAATTTTGGAACGTCAATTCTTTCTGGCTCAAGCAAGGTTTTTGAACTTTCTTCTCCAAAGTCTTTGCTCTTCAATTTTGAATGCCAATTCCTTAGTTTGGATTCATCAAGATGGCCATCCGGTTAATCTGAATTGGAAATCGACGTATCAAAAGACTCTTTAATAATTTATTTCCTGTTGGATCCTCTTCCTGTCGGCTGAACCGACGTACAATCTCCATCCCAGCTGCATACTCCGACCAAGTTGTTGAGGCATCTAATCTGGCCCATGGACCTCTCTGGACCTGGAAAGAACCGCTTGCCAGAGACTGAAACGCGGGACCATCCGGCGGAGTTCAATCGAACACATCTCACAGTAAGACTGCTGGTGGCAAGGGGTATTGGAAGATTGAGTCTTGAGTCGTGTCTATTCAGAGCCCTCCTTTAAATCCAAATAGAATCCTAAA